CATGGAATCCTTTGACATCTTATGATATAAATATATTAAATTTCATATTGCAAAATATTAATTATAAAAGAATTTTGAAAAATCTTAAAAATCATTTAATTCTTATAAAATCTTTTTAAAATTCATAATTTTTTTTCATGATAAAGAGTTTTATGAAATCTCGATTTAATTTATTTTTAAAATTTAAAATTTCTCTTTTTTTTTCTCGTATCTAATTTTAATTAATTAGTGTTAATTGTATAAGTCAAATCAGTCTATGAATTCAATAATAATATTACTTGAGTATTCAGTGCACTTGTGTATATTTTACATCATTTATGTCAATTCTTTTATGTTTTCAAATGATGGAATTTGGTCAAAACTTTATTACATTTGTGGGAGATACTTTGAGCCATTGAAAATCAAGTCGGTAAATCGGTTGGATTTTTATGTGTGTTGGTATTTAATATGTTGTATTCACATTCCTATTTTAGAAATGCAGAATGATGTTATTTATTTATTTATTTATTTCTAAAAACATCTAAATCTAAAATTATTTTATTTTTGAAATCTTCTTTGATTAGGCTATTTTCAAAAGTTTATTGTATCAGATATATTAAGAACATAATCTTATATTTATAGGATTTAGGGTCCTAACGGATATCTTTTGAGTGCAAGAATCAAACAATATCCTCATATCTAAGCAAGCATGTTGTGTGCAATATATTAAAATATTATAAAATCATACATAGAGGTGATAGATCCTATTTGTCCCATTTCTACACATGTCTAGTTCATTAATTATTTAATTTTAATTAATGCATATTCAATGCATTCTTTATGTTACTCTAAAGACTATTTTTTTTTTAATTTACTTTACCTTTTGACTTTGGAGCTATTATGCCTTTAGTGAACATGAGATATATTCATCATGGTGTGATTGTGCACAAAATAAAACATATTCTTAATAAACGTTCCTAAATTGTACAATTCCATTATGTAAAGAAAATCACACTTCCTTATAATATATTTACAACTTTCAAGAAACAAATAGAGATTTTCAAATATATTTTTTTCGAATATTTTATTTATTTGTGCATCAAACTAGTAAAAAATCTGGTTATAATTAATATAAAAAAAGTAGGATGACTACTTTTATTAAAAATTAGTAAGATTGAGAAACTTCGTGCTTCTATTAAAAAAAAATAAGTAATAAAAATATGTTGATTTAATTGGTGTTATGATTAAACCATTAGTTTCAAGTTCTTAAATTTGATAAAAAAATGTTATTTTTGATAATTTTTAAAATAGAAGGGTATAACCCCAATCCTTTGACATCTTATGATATAAATATATTAAATTTCATATTGCAAAATATTAATTATAAAAGAATTTTGAAAAATCTTAAAAATCATTTAATTCTTATAAAATCTTTTTAAAATTCATAATTTTTTTTCATGATAAAGAGTTTTATGAAATCTCGATTTAATTTATTTTTAAAATTTAAAATTTCTCTTTTTTTTTCTCGTATCTAATTTTAATTAATTAGTGTTAATTGTATAAGTCAAATCAGTCTATGAATTCAATAATAATATTACTTGAGTATTCAGTGCACTTGTGTATATTTTACATCATTTATGTCAATTCTTTTATGTTTTCAAATGATGGAATTTGGTCAAAACTTTATTACATTTGTGGGAGATACTTTGAGCCATTGAAAATCAAGTCGGTAAATCGGTTGGATTTTTATGTGTGTTGGTATTTAATATGTTGTATTCACATTCCTATTTTAGAAATGCAGAATGATGTTATTTATTTATTTATTTATTTCTAAAAACATCTAAATCTAAAATTATTTTATTTTTGAAATCTTCTTTGATTAGGCTATTTTCAAAAGTTTATTGTATCAGATATATTAAGAACATAATCTTATATTTATAGGATTTAGGGTCCTAACGGATATCTTTTGAGTGCAAGAATCAAACAATATCCTCATATCTAAGCAAGCATGTTGTGTGCAATATATTAAAATATTATAAAATCATACATAGAGGTGATAGATCCTATTTGTCCCATTTCTACACATGTCTAGTTCATTAATTATTTAATTTTAATTAATGCATATTCAATGCATTCTTTATGTTACTCTAAAGACTATTTTTTTTTTAATTTACTTTACCTTTTGACTTTGGAGCTATTATGCCTTTAGTGAACATGAGATATATTCATCATGGTGTGATTGTGCACAAAATAAAACATATTCTTAATAAACGTTCCTAAATTGTACAATTCCATTATGTAAAGAAAATCACACTTCCTTATAATATATTTACAACTTTCAAGAAACAAATAGAGATTTTCAAATATATTTTTTTCGAATATTTTATTTATTTGTGCATCAAACTAGTAAAAAATCTGGTTATAATTAATATAAAAAAAGTAGGATGACTACTTTTATTAAAAATTAGTAAGATTGAGAAACTTCGTGCTTCTATTAAAAAAAAATAAGTAATAAAAATATGTTGATTTAATTGGTGTTATGATTAAACCATTAGTTTCAAGTTCTTAAATTTGATAAAAAAATGTTATTTTTGATAATTTTTAAAATAGAAGGGTATAACCCCAAGCGTGTGGTTCAGCGGTAGGGGTTGATCCACGCTTAAGCAAGGTCAGGGTTCGAATCCTGCCTTGTGTATGCAGCCGCGTTAAATCTTGGGGCCAGCTATCCCACCCTTTGAGGTGCCTCCAACGTAGCGAGGAGATTAGTCACTGCCTTGTGTATGCAGCCGCGTTAAATCTTGGGGCCAGCTATCCCACCCTTTGAGGTGCCTCCAACGTAGCGAGGAGATTAGTCACTGCTGTCGGCGGTGGATACTCCAGGGACGAATCAAAAAATAAAAAATAAATAAAAATAAATAGAAGGGTATAATGGTCAACAAAATATGGAGATCAAGGTGGTTACTAAAAAGGGTATCCCCTTTATACAAATTTAAAATTTAAATATACATAGTAAATAATAGCTTTTTGAAACTCATTAATGTTGAAAAAAAATTATGGTATTAATCTCATCAAATTTGTGATTAATGTTCATGACTTATTTTCATATATAGTTAATGTTGATTATTTATTTGATTTATTATACTATAATGTAAAATTTGTAGAAGATAATTATAGTCTAATCAAATGTTTATGAAATATTATATACGAGACATGATATTTAAATACTTGTATAATTTTTTTTATATTAAGGTATCTCTATCTAGAAACTTTGAACTAATCTTTCAACGTTAGGGGTGATAATGAGGTCTCATAAAGGTAGGTAGTAGGCTCCTGTTTCCTACTCTGGATAATAATTTGTAACTAAGTATGTACTAACAAATTTTATTAATATTCACAGGTATTATTTGTGATTTTTTATAAATTAAAAATAAAAAAATATATATTAAAAATATTTTGAGTTTATATTTTATATTAATTCTATTAAAATATTAAAAATAAATAATTGACATTAATTTTGAATTTGTATTTATCATTAATTTTGTTTAAATATTAAAAATAATAAACAGATAAATAATAACTTAAAATATATCAATCTCATAAGTCTAAATAAAAGTCTAAAAAAATTGTGATAATCCAATCTTATAATTTCAAACAAAAGCCATTTGAAAGAAAATAATAAAAAAAAAATATATGACATATTAGCACTTAAGGTTACTTGCTCATTTATAGATAGATAGAGTTTTTTTTTGTATCATCACTTATTATCATCCATAAAGGATTTTATCTACATATACCTATAATCACATAAGCAGTTTTTTTTTTGACATTCCAACTCAACACTTTCAGGGTTTGACTTCCCAACATTTGTATAATTGAGACATGTACTCCAAACTTTGAAAATTAATGTGTATTCAATATATATTATTCAAACTTGTATTATTTTTGTCAATATTAAAATAATGTTTGATCAGCAAAAAATTATATCTAACAAACATATATTGATCCTTATTTGTTAGCTTTAAGATATTATAAGAATTATATTAATGAATAAAATAAAATAAAAACCTATGTGAATGGATTCACAAATATATTTCCTGTGATCATATCATAGTGAAGTTTTATTTAATAAATAATAAATTAATGTTCTAAAACTAACATATCAATTTTATTCTGGTTTAAAAAGATATCTAATTTAATTTAGGCTAATCTCTAGTCCTTAATTTTGTTTTTTTATTATAATTATTTTGGTCCTTCATTTATTAAAATATTCATTTTGGTCATTTAAAATTTTTAATTTTCTTGTTGATTTACTTTTTTCTAAATAATAATTATTTTTTTATTTTGAGACATAATTTTGAATTTCTTCTTTTGTCTAATTCAAATTTTGAATTTTGTTTCATTCAATTCATTTATATAAAACTTATCGAGCACAATTGAAGTTCAAACAAAAAATTGTTATAAACATGATAAAAATCATATAAAAAAAATTCCAAAAAATAACTAAAAATTAAAAAAATTAATTTCATATTATTTTCTAGTTACTTATAAAATATATTTTTCACACAATTTTCACTATAATTTTAACCCTTTTAAATTTGAAAGTCAATTAAATTTTATAATTTTCATACAAATAAATCTAGTCATATAAATTTCACATTTTGAAATAATAAAGGATTGATTCAAAATCACAAAAATTAAAAATGGTCATTATTTTAAAAAGATTAATTTAATCCAAATATAAAAGATAAAGAAAAAAACAAATACTTTCACATAAAATCAAAATAAATCTTAAAAAAAAAAAAAGATAAACATAATATAATTTATTTTTTAATTTAGGCGATTTTAACTCTTAATTTAAAATTCGTTTTAAAAAAACTTCCAATTTGTTTTTTTTTTTTTTTAAACCATATTCTTTGTGAATCATTTATAAGAAAATCTGATTTGAACCTCAAGTTGAAGAAGTGACAGAAAAACCATAAAAACAACATCATAAAAGCGACAGCATCGAACATTATTGTATGGCGGAGAAAGCCTGAAAAGCGAGCCTTATATTCGTAGCTGTGGGACCTCTTTTCCAATACACGCACAATTTTTTTGGTTAAGAAACCCACCAAACATCCAACAAGGTAAAGTGTAACTGTCATCCCTTTCTTTTTCTCCCTCTTTCCTTTTCTTTTTCTTCTTCATTCATCGTCACTGAATTCGGATCTGTTGCATTATCTCCTTTCTCAATTCAGGGCTTGTTTTTCTCTTCATTGGGGCTCCCTTCGCTTCTTGAGCCCCTTTTTCTTTTCTGGGCCCTTACCGATTCTCAATGGAGGTAATTCAACCCTTGTTATGTTTTGATCAATTTTTTTGCTTCTTTTTCTGTTTCATGACTCCCTGCTGCAATATCTGTTGCAAAGTTTGGTGCTTTTTTATCTGGGGTGCTTGTGATTGCCTCCTTTTGTGATGATCCTTTGCTTTCACATGTGTTGTTCCTTTTTGTTGTGTTGAATTTTGTTATGATGTTTTTACTGATTTATTTATTTGTAATTTATAATTATGGAAGTTTATCACATGTCAATGCATTTGTGTTTTGTAAAACATGATCCAATATGTTCCATAAGGATAGGTATTAGATAATTGGAAGAGGGGGAAAAGATAATTGTTTCAAGTTATTTGCTCTATTTGTGGAAGCGTTTCACGAATAATTCATAAAGCTTTTTAGGGTGTATAGCATTGGTGGAAACTGCATTTATTTATATGGTCGATAATCAAGGTTTTTAAAAACGTTCTGCAACTGCGATTATCGTTGCAAATGTTAACAATTTTTCTACAATATCAGAGATCCCAAGGAAATCGTGACAACCACAATTCAAAACCTTGTTGATAATGTGTGTTGTTGTTGTTGTTGATGTTGTTATGCTTTTAATTTGATTAAAAAATGTGTGCAACAAAATTCTTTGGCAACTTTCTAGAGTAAGGGTTTTATCATTTGTGCTGAGGCTTCTGGTTGCAACGATTCAGAGGGAGGAATTGTTATGCCAGTAATGTCATTGCATCATTTCCTTGTCCAATTTCACCTGATTCATTAAGTAATTTGAGGTATAATCTGGATTTTAAGTTTACTTATTGGATCTGTGATTGAATAATGACACTCTGAATGAATTTCCTTATGTGTGTTGGAAATATTATACACTCAAGATTACTGGCAAAATATGGCATTTGACTGTGAAATCTGAAATATATAGGTTCCAGGAATGGAAGGCAAGACCGAAAGTCATATGACATCGGCAGCAGCCTTTGTGGAAGGAGGTATTCAAGAAGCCTGTGATGATGCTTGCAGCATATGTCTTGAGGATTTTTGCAAAAGTGATCCTGCAACTGTAATATACAGCTTTCGTGCTTCCCTCTGTCCCTTTTCACGAATAGAATTATAAACAAGGATAGGTTCATTTGAAAACATTTGTTTACTCCTTTTCCTTGTGTTTCTTTTCAGGTCACTAATTGCAGGCATGACTTCCACCTGCAGTGCATTCTTGAATGGTACATTTCAATATATGTTTTTCATGTTTGTCTTTCACAAAACTTAGATTTTTAGTTTAATTTTTACATCTATATTCTCATAGGGTAACACGTTATGTTTGGTTAAATTGGTTCATATTTATTAAATGGTTTCTAACTTTCAAAACCATTAACAAGTTCTCACTCATGATAAGTTAAAACTAGAAGTCTAAAAGCATTGGTATAATTGTGTGATACTTCTGAATTTCTGGTCTCCTTTTCTCTAAGGTCAGGGTGGGGAATGGGGGCAAAAACTGGGCATTGGAATGGAAGGGATAATTGATCGCACCAATGTTGATCATGACAAGTGTCCTTAGCCCTTGATTGTATTATTAGCTGTTTGGACTGGAAAATCAATGGATTGCTCAACTTTCTAGTTTAATTCTTTCCTGTGTGTTTCAATTTAGTGAGAATTGGACTGAACCTGCCAATTATGGTATGATATGGTCACACGATAACGGTGTGTGAAGCTGCCACATCTTACCAAAATTTAATTTGAAGGGATAACCAAACCACAAAGGCATCTGAACTGTAGGCTTCCTGGCGAGGATTGAATATTTTCAACCAGACAAAGACATTTCTTTTTTTAAGAAACACACAGTATAAATAAGATCTTTGGGAATAGTTTGATGGAGATGTTTCTGTCTCCTCCGTCTGTGTATGTGTTTTTCTCAATATTGAGTATGGCTAGGGGCCATGTAACCATGTTACTGTTGAAAATATTCATGTTATTTATATATATATATATATATATATATATATATATATTTGAAATTTCTGATCTCAAAACATGATTTTGGCTGCTAATGGGTGGGAGCCTACGATTTGCTTTATATGGTTGAAAATGGGAACATTATATTTCAGCAATAGTTATTACTGACTATTGTTTATAGGTGTCAGAGAAGCTCCCAATGCCCTATGTGTTGGCAGCCTATCAGCTTGAAGGATGCTACCAGGTAGTTCAGGATTTTTCTACTTGGGGTTTACTACTTTATAGTTCATTTCTTCATTATATTCTTAAACTTGTATATATGCATTTCATGACAGTCAAGAGTTGCTTGAGGCAGTAGAGCTGGAGAGGAGCTTGAGGGATACCCCATCAAGAAATGCTGCGATTTTTCGTCATCCGACACTTGGTGATTTGCAATTGCAGCATGTCAGTCATCCATCTGTCTTTGAGTTTTTATTTTATTGTCCTTACCACACCTTTCTACCATGTATGTAAGCTAGTAATTTTTCTTACTTTTGCAGTTACCCATGGGTGCGAATGAGTCTGATATTGAAGAGAGAATAATTCAACATATAGCTGCTGCAGCAGCAATGAGGAGAGCACACCACCTCGGCCGGAGGGAAGGCCAAAGAACTAGGTCATCAGCTCATGGCCGTCCAAATGTCGTGGTATACTCAACTCAGCCTGGTGCACCTCCATCAACTGCTGAAGGGGGAAGTGAACCAGCTGCAATTCCTGTAGGAAGTCCATCTACCCCACTTACATTTGGTGGAAATGAGCAATCATCACCACCACAGCACATCCCTCAATTTCATACTCGGAGTACTTCTTTACCTCCTGGCACTACTGTCACAGCAACCAATCTTCAAGGAATTCACTCTAATGATAGGTAGTTAGATCTTAATATTTATTTTCTTATGATCATTATTAGTGTGTGAATATGTGAAATGTGAAGTTATACATTGTATATATACTTGCTTGCAGAAGGTTTGCCTCTCATTCCTTGCCTGCAAACCAAGATAGAGCACAGCCATCAGAACAATCGTTCTCCGATTCTCTGCGTTCCAGATTTAATGCAGTATCCATGAGGTATGATTTCTTAGAAACCATGTGTCCACAAACACTACATATTGTTAATGCAATTCATCTGATGTTAAACTGTTTTGTGACAAAGATACAAAGAATCAATTTCGAAGGGCACTAGGGGATGGAAGGAGAGGTTGTTCTCTCCTAATTCTTCCATGTCAGAACTTGGATCAGAAGTTAGGAGAGAATTGAATGCCAAAATCGCTAGTGTGTCCCGATTGATGGAGCGCCTTGAAACAGGAGAAAGTAATAGGGCTGCAGGCACTTCTTTATCAAATCACTTGGCGAATCGTTCCAATGCAGAGACAAGCAACAACCAAAACAATGTGGAAGCTCGTGGAGAGAACTCTCTGCGTGACAATAATACTCCAGCATGTTCTGCTAACTCAAATTCAAACTGAGCTCTAGTTTGCTTCTGTGAATGCATCTTTCCTCAGCATATCATGTTTGAAGGTGAGCCTTGATCTTAGTTTAGGCCTTTGAGTATCAGAACAAAATCAATATAGCTTTCATCCATGAACTACTTAGTTTTATAGTTTAATTTCTTTGCATTGATATTTCAAAATATTTTACACCGTTGACCAATCAAAAAGTTAAAGTAGTTATTATAAAAGTTTAGTAACTTGATATACATAGCAAATTATGATTGGGTGACATTGTAGAAACCCTTTACACTATCAATACATAGACTATTTTTACAGTTATTATAAAAGTTAGCTAACTACACACAACAATTTGTGATTGAATGATATTGTAAAAACCCTTTACACCATCAATACATAGACTATTTACTCTTTGTTTTATCAAATAAGCACTATTTCTGGTCAATATTGTTAATTACTCTAGGTGTATCCTTTTTGCCTGTAATGCATCCTTTTTGGTGTGTATCATGTATCATGTCTCAAGCGTCATATTTTTTTTCTTTTCAGGCTAACTGTTTGCTCAGACATGACATGATGAGGAATATATGCTCATGGCAGTTGTTGGATTTCAATAAAAAATTTAGGATTTGAGACACCTGTGCCTTTAACTCTGTATATAATATATGCCGGGAACTGTAGGGAGTAAGTATTTAAGGTGTAATCTAAGGGAGAATGTTTTCTGAATTCCCCACCTGATTTGTGTCCATAATATGTCCTTATGATTACATTTTAGAGTCAAAGGACATATAGATCAAGGTGGCAATTGGAGTTCTTGGCGTTTCTGCTGCACTTCAACCTTGATTAAACTAAACCTTTGTTTTTAAATTCACATTAGGGAATATGAGAAGCTATCTTTCGGTTTGAAATTAAAATTAAAATCCAGTTACATTCCTTTCGTGCTAATAAGTAATATTAGTCATTAATGATACGTTTTTGAATATTATAATAATAAGATGCGTGTTTTTTTGGTATTCAAAGGGGCAAAAAGCCCAAAAAGAAATTACACAGAAATAAGTAAGATGCTTTGTGCATATGATTTTTGCGACAACAAAACATGCAGTTTTATCCTTCAATTTACTCCATAAAATGCACTGGTTTTTCCATACAAAACTAAAGAATAAATCTCTAGATTAATCTTTAAAATTTTAATTATCAAAAATGTTAGCCTTCAATTTGTTTAAATCCTTATTTAGTTTGTGATTTTGTGAAATTCACTTAATTTAGTCTCTGCATTATTTTTCACCAACATTAATTACTATGAAGTAAATCACTATCAAGAAACAAAAAGACTAAATAAAGATTTGAAAAAGTCACAGGTTAAATTGATGGTTATGATCTTTAGAATTAATTTTTAGAGTTTAGGTGTTCTTTGGTACAGAAATGTTTCAACATGCATGAAAAAGTCATCATCTTCTTCTTCTTCTTTTTCTAGAGAAATCATTAATCGTTGGATCATGCTAAAAATTTGATGATATTTTCTTAAGGCATTGATCTTTAACTTAAACAGTCGGATCGTGAAAATTAGGTCTTTAGAGGGAGATATTATCATAACAAAAACGCTGTCCAACGCAAAATTTTCTGAAAAGCAGAATGGGTCATTCTAATTTTGGAACGGGCCGTTACAGCATTGGGAACGACCAAATCAGTTTTCTTGAGTTTTTTGGGCCTTTCGGAGCCAACTTGGCCCATTTAGGTGCTCGTTAACTGTTGGATCATGCTGGAATTGTGATAATATCTTCTCAATATATTGATCTTTAATCTCAACGGTTGGATCGTCAAAATTAGTACTGTAACGAGAGATGATATCATAACAAAACTGCTACCCAACACGTTAGTCCCCTCGAGGGTTGTTTGTCTCGCTCTAGTAGACCTTTATTCTTGGTTTGGGTACCCGGACAAAATTAGGTGTCTACAATCCTTGGAGGAGATTCAACCCTTGAACGACCATAAGTACATGTTGACTATATTAGAGTGAGATGTTTCTCACTCTTTGTTTTCTTTTCTGTTGTTCCATTTAATGTGTTGCAAGTAATGACTATCATGTTGATGATGTAGGAGATGAGGCATGAGCTTGATGGGGTATTATATGGGCTCTGATAAGATGTGACACCTATGGCCGTAGTATAAGACTTTTTTTTTATTATTTCAAGCTATGTTTAATTGTAGAATGGTGTTACTTATGTTTATGAATAGCCTTTAACTAATCTTTTGATTTTACTTATGTTGTGGACATTTTGAACATTGTTAAGTTTGAAGATTATTGTAGTTGTTTATCTATGAATGTCTTGTGTTTATCTTAGGGCTAATGGGTGTCACAATGTGAAAGTTGGGAGAGAAACACAATCTCTGTGCTAAAAAAAATTGTAGATCACTTATTTTCACAAAATAGAGGTTCCTTTTATTTCATCTTGTATCTTTTTTCTTTTAAACCTGTTTGAGTATTTTTTACTTTCTACTTATGATTTCCATAGAAGTTTTTAATTCTTTTTTATTTTTCAATCAAAATTTATTTAATTTCTAAAATGAAATAACAACTTATAAGTGTTTAAATAATGATACTTCCAAACACTTTAAAATTGTATAAATGTCTGTTAAAATATATATTCAATTAAATTTTTAGCACTTATAACATAAGTTCGTATTACATAAAAGTTTATTAAATGAGATCTTAAAAAAATTATTTGATAAATTTTATAGTTAACATTGTTATTGTGAAGATTGAATGAAGACTTAACATGTGTATAATATTTCTATATTTGTTGCCAAAGTACAATAACCCCTTTGGTATTAAGATGTTAATGCTTAATAAAAGGGTAATTTTTAAATTATTTATTTTTTATACATATTTTTAAGTTATTATAATAAGTATGTCTTCTTTAAATGTAATTTCATATTAAAATATTTTTTATGATAAATTTTTATAATATAAAATAATTACATTTATAAGATTAATTTATTGTCTTCATTAGTCATCTTCATATTAATATAAGATATATAACAAAATATTAATTATATTACTTATTAATTATGTAAAATAGGATAAGAAACTATGTTGAATTTAATATTATTAAGATTAAGATTTAAATATAATATTTTTTAGATCATATTAAAATCATAATATATATATATATATAT